ATCACTTTATTTGTTTCACATTGTTTGCCCTTTCTGAAGCCCTATCATGATGCTTGTTCTTTCCCAATCCAATCATTGTATACGTTTTGATTCTTGTGTGTTCAGTAAAATTTCTTCTTTAAAGACAGGAAATGTGGGTTTCTAGGACCAACTCACTTACTGTCACTACTGTCAAGATACAAAGAACTCTTCTATGTCAGTAATGTAACGATATCTATAATTTGAGTTTTGGGCTACAACTCTGGAGATCAGGGTTCGATTCCTTACTCGGCCATAGCAATATACTGGGTGGCCTTGGGTGAGTCACACACTCTCAGCTGCAGAAAACTCCACAATAGTTCCATCTTAGGTTTGCCACAAGTCATAAATGACTTGAAGGCATGCAACAGCAAAACTCCTGAGAGTACATCTTGGCTGGCACCTTGTTGAGGGCACAGTGCTAACATGATGCTCCATTAGTTCCATGGAGCTAGCATGACACTCCATTAGCTTCTCTTCACAGCTTGTTGGATTCTAACTCCCAGCAGCCCTAACCAAAATAGGCAGTAGTGAAAAATGTTGTCAACTGTAGTCTGAAATCATCTGGAAGACTATATGAGTTCCACTCTGTGCTAGAGGTTGCATTTTCTGCATGCTCATATGGAGGATGGGGTGAACAACTGTCCTGTAGGAAATCACCCCTTCCAGATCAAGCAGCTGTCTCTTCTTATTGCTTCCTATTTTTTGTCCTTTCCTTACAGCCACTGTATCCTCATCATTTTTCACCTTACCTCCATTGACGACATTGACTATACTGGCAGTAGCAACAACATTGCATCTTTACTAACATTTCAGTTCTTAAGTCTCCCTTTCTGACAATATCAGTTGAGGCATAGGTATCTAAAATCTAAACCAAAACTTCAGAACATGAGTTGCCCTTAAAGACCTAAAACAAGGCTACACAGAACTCCATCAGAAAACAAAACCTAAACTTTATTCATACACTCCAACTGTTCTGAATTGACGGGGACGGTCCCAACTATTCCTCTATTGTCCCACTTTTTTGGCTGCTTTAAAAATGTCCCACTTTGCCCCTGTGTCCTCAACTTACTTCAACTGCTGCAAATTGAGTCGAAAACGCAAAAGTAGTTTGAGCTCAAAAGGATGGTGCAGAAGAGAGGAGGGACAGAATCTTGTCCTTCCCCATAGGCTGAGGCAAAAGCAAACTTCTGCATTCTCTCCTATGTTCTTTCTCATTAATACCTTTTGCCATCTTGACCACACTGATGTTGCTTGCCAGGTTTTCATCTGCAAAATGTTTGTTTTTATAAGTAGATTTTCTACCAAGGTCTGTATTGTGGCCAATGGCAGTGTAGAGCTAAATACTAGCAATTTATTTTAACTGCCTTTCCAAAATTGAGTTTAATTTAAGTATCCAGCTGAGGTTTGCTATGACCACTCAATGCTCCTCTGCTGGACCAGAATCACAGGAGTAGTAAGTTTCTGCATAATTGTCTCCTCCAGAATTTAGCTTCAGAAAGTTACATTTCTGAAATATTCATCCTATGGTATTTAATTCCCTTTACAAGGTCCTTGTTTCAGCATGAGCTGATGATTAAATAATGACTTAAGTGAATTAAATTAATGGGTAGCACTTACTTTCTCACTTACATTGCCTGTCTAGCTTCTTATTATCTTTGATGCTTTGTCACTGGGACTGAGATGTTTTCTTATTAGCTGTCTGCAGAGCTAGGCTCCCGCACAAGCCTGCCCTACTTTGATATACTTTTATAGCCTCCTGGATAGTTTTCCCAATTAGTTGTTCTGTGCCATGTTATCCAATGCAACTTTTTCACTGATTTCTGGCACTGGAAGGGCCTTGGCTCACTTGTAGCTAGTTCAGTCCTTTTTATATACACATTGGGTATACCTTATCTGGAATCCTGAAATCCAAAATATTCCAAAATTGTCCACATGTGCAGCTGAGATAATAACACCTTTGTTTTTTTGATGGTTTGGTGTACATCAACTTTGTTTCATGCACAACAATATTTAAAAAAAATCTCCAGACCATGTGTATAGGGTGTACACAAAACATAAATGAATTTTGTGCTTAGACTTGTTGAGTCCTATGTCTAAGATATCTCATTATGTATATGCAAATATTCCAAAATCGGGGGCGGGGGAATCCAAAATCCAAAACACTTCTGGTCCCAAGCATTTTGGAGAAGATAGAGCTGACCTAGATATATATATATATATAAATTTTGTTTTCCAACAAAAATAAAACAAGAAGAAGACAAAATGAAAGACACAACACCTGTACAAAACATTAATTCCAAAATCAGCTGTATACATAAAGCTTACACAAAGTACCTTTAATAACATAACAAACTTAAAATGATGAAGCCTAAAATTATCTCCCCATAAATTTTACTATGTTATGAAAATGGTGAAAGGAGCCTAGATTGTGGCAAACATATCTTTTTAAATTTCGCCTTTAACCATTCTGGTTCTGGAGGTTTGTTTTTTCTGAAAGGGCAGTTCCCCACACACAGTTTTTCATGCTCTTGCAATTTCTAACCATGCAGATCCCAACAATATAGCAATAAGATTTTTATGCAGCACATTTGTATTATCTCCTCCAAAAAATAGTTAATAATCAGACTATGGGGTTGTAGTGCCCATAGGTGGTAGATTTTTGGAATAAGGTAATTGACCTCCTGAGGAAAATTACACACCAAGAATTATATTCTATAGGATAATAATACATCCAGTACATAAAACTTGAAGGGATGTCTTGACAGTTTCATATTTTTTTAACTTTCTATGAAAATATTTAAACAAAATGATTGAAATTTCTTTTTATAATTAATTTTTAACCCTGAATATTTCTTAAATTTGGACAAAAGAGTTTTGACTGCTGCAATAGCATTTTCCAGATCTGTTGTATAAAGAACAGTATTGCCTATGTATAAATGCAGTTTGTGAGTTACTCCTTTAATGTTTACTCCCATGATGTTGGAGCCAATCCCAATTGCTCTTGCTAATAATTGGATGGCAAGAGTAAATAATAGGAATGAAAGTGGACATTCTTGTTTTGTTATACATGATAAATAAAAACATTTGATTCCACCCCATTTACAGTTATCACAGCCTGAAAATCTACATATACTGTATTCTCTGTAGAGTGGGAATGAACTATTCTCCCATACCCATCTTATACATTGATGTTGAGATATAAGACCATCCCAAGCGATCAAAGACCTTCAGGGCATCAAGTGAGAGCAATACCAAAGATTTTCTATGTTTTTAAATAGTATACATGTTTAATATCCTTTAATGAGCCAGTGTGGTGTAGTGGTTTGAGCGTTGGACTACAACTCCGGAGGCCAGGGTTTGATTCCCCACTCGGATATGGAAACCCACTGGGTGACCTTGGGTGAGTCACATTCTCTCAGCCCCAGAAAACCCAGTGATAGGTTCATCTTAGGGTCACCATAAATTGGAAATGACTTGAAAGCACACAACAATAACCATGTCCTTCTAACTATATCAGATAAATGTCTATTTGGTATACAGCCAGCTTGATCTGAACTTGTTAACATAGGGTGTAATAGTTCCTTGAAGTTCAGTCCTTGGCATCTCTAGAAGGAGCGGGGAGGCACTCTCATCTAAAACCCTGGAGAGCTGCTGCCAATCAATGTAGACCAGGGTTACTGAAGAACTACGACTCTCCTTGTACTTCACCATTAGGGCAAGCAGGCAAGGCCTGAAGGAAATCACAGTTTGTGGAAAACCTCATCTTCCACTGCTGTGGTGTAGACAACATTGAGCCCGATGGAGAAATTGTCTACTTTCTTATGTTGGCTGGACTGGCAGCCTGAGCTGAGGGATGAACAACAATTTAATTGGAACCCTATTGGCCCCTTGTGTCACCTCGAGCCCTTTCACACAACACAATTATAATGCTATGATTTCACTTTAACTGCCACATGCTGTAGTAGAGTCTCCTTCTTTGGAGGTTTTTAAACAGAGGCTGGGTAGCCATCTGTCACGACTGCTTTGGTTGTGTATTCCTGCATGGCAATGGGTTAGACTGGATAGCCTTTGGGGGTCTCTTCCAACTCTAGGATTTTACATTCTGTGGAATCCTGGGATTGGCAGTTTAAGGAGGAACATTTAAAACCCTCAGCCAGAGAGCAACTCTGCAGATCCCAGGATCCCATAGGATGTTGCCATGGCAGATGAAGTGGAATCAAAGTGCTATAAGTATGTAGTGTGAAAGGGTCTCTGATTTTAGTGGACTGGAGAGTGGCAATGCCACTATAGACTAAGAAGAAGAGCCCTCCCTCCATTCAATCCGATGTCATCTGGGGGAGAGACAACAGGTCCAGCACCATCAGGCCTAGACTAAGAAGAAGAGCCCTTACCTTTTAAGGGGCGGGTGGGTTTCGGGATTTTTAGGTTCTGTTTATATTGTATTAACGTATCGTTATGTAAATGTTAATGTTGTAAGCCGCCCCGATTGCTTTGCAGAGGGGCGGGATATCAATTATTATTATTATTATTACACTGAAGATAGTGGTGTGCAGAGCAGGTTAGCAGTTTCTTCCTACCAAGCTGCAATAGTTGTGCCAGACCATGGTATCAGAGGACGTCCAGATTTCAGAATCAGAGCTTGGGGGAGAAATCCCATTTTTTGCTCTCAGAATACTTTCATTCAGTATAACCAATGAGCCATGCTGACTGAAATGTTCTGGGAGCTGTAATCCAAAAAAGCAGTGTCTCCAAGCTGTGTTCTTGGTTCCTTATCTTCGCTTCCTTTGGTGAATATGGAGATACAGAGTGATCACTACAGTACAGAGGTCAGACGCTTGATACCAGAATAATTGTGAAAGAGCAAATTCCTCAACCAGCAGAAGTATTTTGCAGCCTTGGGATGCCAGGCAGCTGTGACAGACTGTCAGTGACTTTGTGGGAAAGGCCCCAGGGCAGTATCACATCTGCCAGAAACAATTCCCTAGGAACCTGTTTATCACATTCAAAAATAATATGTGCATATTTCACCCAGTCGATGTCTGCTTCTAGTACAAGAAGGAGCAAAAAAACAGGGATTTCCTCATTAGTGATATGGACCCTATGGACTAATGGGTTAGAACAGCTCCTTCAGAGACAATGGCTGAAAATGGTTCCAAAGTGTGCTCAAATTAATTGAACAACCAGTTATTGACTATAATAAATTCTGCAGCAATTGTTCATGGGCATTATGGGGCGTCCTAAACTTGCCTAATTATAGGGGAGGGCAATGAGACGCACTGTAGACCTTTTACACAGATTCCACTATGATACGGCTATTACTGGCTAGCGAACCATTCGTATAAAGCATTCCAGCATGTCTGTGCATTGACTGCATCCCATGAGCCTTTGGGCTCCTCAGTGGGCTTCAGTTGATTTGGTGATGGGACTGCCTCAGTAGATTTTAGGTAGCAAGAAAGGATAGGAAACTGACAGATTGTTATTATCATATTTTCACTGTTGGAAATGGAGAAGAAGTGCCAATGGGGCTTCTTGCCCCGCATATACCAAAACAACCTGCCTGTCTGTGGGTACTTTGACTGACTTCAGTGTATGGAGTGGTACCATTTTTTCTTTTCCCTCAGCCTGCAAAAAGTCTTGGAACAGCTTTCTTGTTTTTGTTTACTTAGAAAGTATGGCGGAGTATGATCCAAATACAGACCAACATGTACCAGGAAGGAGGAGATATTTATTCCCACCCTTTGTAGTCACTTTTTTTTCGCAAATTCCCACAAGGAGGGTTAAAAAAATATTATAGCTGGTGCACTTCCTAGATCCACGCTGGTGAACCTGTGGCACGTGTGCTCTCTCTGGCACACGAAGCCATCTCTGAGGGCACATGGTAGGGTCAGGGCTGGGGGTGCGTGCTTGGCCCAGCTTCTTGTTGTGGCTTGGTTTGCCTCAGGAGAACCGGTTGTGGCAAGGAGGACTGGGGAGGAACATATGGCCGGCAAGGCTCCTTGCTGCGTCCTGGTTCTCCCATGGAAAAATGAGCCACAACAAGGAGGGTGGTAGGCCTGTCTCTTCCAGCTGGAAGGCCCGCACCTTGCTATGGGAGTCTGGGAACTGTAGTTTTATGAGATGTAATGAGGCCATTGGGCAGGCTCTCTTTGTTATTGTGTGCCTCCAAGTCACTTCCAACTTATGGCCACCTTAAGCCAAACCTATCATGGGGTTTTCCTAGCAAGTTTTGTTGGGGG